GGAGGTAGTGAGGTTAAAAGAGGTCCTAAAGGGACAGCTCTGCTCTCACAAGACTGTCCTAAGAGGAGACACTAGAGAGCGGCTCTCTTTCAACCTTACAAGGATGCTATGTGAAAATGGCCTGTGAGCTAAGAGTCTTCACCAGCTGCTGGTCCAGCAGTGCCTTGATCTGAGTCTTCTGGCCTTCCAAGCTACTGGGAGTAAGTATGTACTATCATGTAGAGAGTCCTTCCTGGTCCTCCTCTTGGTCCAAGGACTTTATATCTGTAATCCCAAGGAAAAGTTATTGGGATTCTATCAGATTAATTCCAGTCTACCACTTCCAATGCAAACCACAGTGAGAATAAAGACACTAAAGCATATTTATCATTATGGGGAGCCAGCAGGCCCTAAGTACAACCACAAAGATGGCTGTCTGGAATAAAGGCCTCGACCCAGGGCCAAATCCAGGTTTCATTCAGTCATAAAGGAGGAGTGGCTTGAGGATGAATTACTGCGAATGGTAGGAAGTAGGTAAGTATTGTGAGCTGGGTTAGGTAGGAGGCCTATATTTACCTCTGCATTGTGCAGAGAGAACATGCAGAGAGTAGTCTGCATCACACAGTTGAGATAGTATCTCATGTTTGGGGTCTGGTGCTTCAGCTCTGATTTGTAACCTTTCAAGCCCCAGAAAGTCATAGCCTCTATCTCAAAACTCGATCCAAGCCAACAGCGTGGGGCATTAGTTCTTCCTCTGTCCTGTCTCCACACAGCTCATATTAAAGAGCAGCAGGTGTGGGTTATCAGGGAAACGTGTGCTGTCTTCAAAGCCTACCATGAGCATCTTGACTAGACTGATACGTATTGCTTAAAGCCAACTGAAGGGATAAGGAAAAGTCCTAGCCAGCTCTGTACCTATCAGTACGTGGAAATAGGGTCAGGCACAGCCAAAATGGAGACAATTGCTCTTTGAAGGAGAGTCCTCAGGTGGCCCTCCACACTGTTGAAGCTGACCACTCTGGCATTTTGTGTGGCAACCCAGAGTGACTCATCCACAGCCAGTGCACCATGGATTTGAAATTCCTCTGGTTTTACTTCATGGGGGTTAGGGTGGAGACGGCACGCCAGGGCATTTTTCTCAGTACTTCTGTTTAACTCTGCTTTGTCTTTTGTACACCCATGCCTGAGAGAGAGTTTTCTCGTTGCTTGTACCCATGCCCCTAGTGTATGTGGGGTACTGTTGGTTTTTGCCTGATGATTGCTAGCCTGATGCTGGGCAGTAGGTTTTTTTCTGTTTTCTGGTCCAGTCTCAGTGAAAGGCAAGCCTTGTGGCCCTGAGTCGGCCGGTGAGGGGCTCGTTCAGGACCCTGCCCTTCTGCTGTGGGGGGTCAGCTTTTGTTTTGTGTCTTTTCAGTCCTTTTGTGCTAGTTCTGAAGTTAGGACTTAGTATAGTTTATTTCACTTGAACTTATAACCCTAGCTCCCTAGAGTTAGGGGATAATTTGTTTTTTAAACTGTTCCACAGTCACAGTGGATCTTCCTGTACCTTAGGGACCACAGGGTTTGCTGTTGTTACCCTGGTAAGGCCTTTTTTTTCACAGGGGAAAAGGGTCTTTCTCTCTTAGAGAAGTAGTATTTCCCTCCTGATGGTCTGTACCTTTGAGGATAACTCTTTCTGGATTTCTGACCTGGCCCAGTGTTTTTCCTTAAAGCCCAGAAGGGAAGCCCCTGGAGCAGATGCTCCAGGTACGTAAGCCTGGGCATTGGTGCCTCAGCCTGTCCTGCTCTTGGCTGCATTCATTCCTGTAAACTTTTACCTCAATCATTCACCTCCTTGTAAGGCAGCTCCATCTTGCCCTGCTTTTCCACAGACGAGCCAGTGTTCCCACCTGCTTTTTCTATATCTTTCCTTAGATTTTTTTGCTTTTTGTTAAATTAATTTTAGTTAATGATTTCGAGAAAAGTTACAATGTTGTGAATTATCTGGTTTTTTTGTTTTGTTTTATTTTAGGTGGGAGCAGTGCTGTTTGCAGCTTTCTGTATCCTAGGTCCACAATGGAAGCCTGAAAATCTCTTTATGATCTTTCTACCGTTTGACACTGCAACTGCATGCTTTTTGAAGTGCTTGATAATACCCACAGATTCTAATGCTCTGTTCCTTTTTTCTTTTTAGGAACTCTTTCTCTTGGCTTTAATTTACCTATTTGCTGTCCATCTTAATATTCATTACTGTTTCTTAATATTTGTTGCTCTTCTGTGATTACTTGTTAGCTCAATCCTAAAATTAAAATTTCATATATTCTTTTTAGTTCTAAAGCTTCTCTTTTTAGTTTGTATTTCTCTCCTAAAATGCCTCATTTTTTTCAGTGTTTGTTTTTCCCCTATAATTCCCTTAGCATATTCAGGAATTTTGTTTCAGTATCTTTGTTCATTGTAATCATTGGGTCAACTATGTCACCTAATTATTACATTTTCTTTCTCTCTCTCTCTCTCTCTCTCTCTCTCTCTCTCTCTCTCTCTCTCTCTTTTTGGTGGTCCTGGGGATTGAACTCAGGACCTTGTGCTTGCCAGGCATGCGCTTATTCCACTGAGCTATATCCCCAGCCCACATTTTCTCTTGATATTTTTAATATGTCTCAATTTTCTGTTTAAAGCATTTAAAGAACATTGGTAAGTGAAGACAGTTTTTTTGTTTTCTTTTTTTCATAGAGTACATGCCTGTTTTAGTTACTTTCTTGTTGCTAGGGCAGAATACCACAAGTCCTAGGAGGAAGGGTTTATTCTGGCTCCAAGACAGAGGGGCGTGGCAGAGAGCAGCAGTTCTCTGCTCCACAGGTGGAAAGTACAAGGTTTCTTCCTTTCCCTTTTCACACCATGTAGACTACAAGCCTGTTGGTCAGTACGCTACAGCCTGGGTAGGTCTTTCCTCTTCAGCCATCCCATTACTCCGAACTATGCTAAACCAGTTAGTGGGCTAAACCAGTATAACACACCCAGTCCAGTCACTCCCTAAAGCCCCTGGTGAGTGCACAAGGCTTTGCGGGGGGATGTTTAAACTGTAACAATGAACTTTCTCTGTTATGTGAGGGCTAATAAATATTTCCTGCTGGCATTTAGTAGAACTGGTGCTACACTGCAGTCAACCTTTTAAGATGCCTTTTTAAAAAAATCTTGACAGTTTTTGAGTTTGGTGGAGGTCAGGGTGAAGATTTGGCTTCACTTTCAGATGCTGTTGGTTTATGTTGGATCTTGGAATTTAGAGATTACCACTTCCTTCTTACAAAACTCGAAGGATTATGTTGTAAGGTGAGTAGTGGACTCAACAATATATTTTTGTGTTGGGGCTTTTGTGATTTTTGCTTTTTGTTTTTTGGCGGAACCAGAGATTGAACTCAGGCCCTTGCTCTTGCCAGGGAAGCGCTTATTCTACTGAGCCATCTCCCTGGCCCACTTCTGTGTTACAATCCATAATTCATCCTTCTATCCCACACTGTTATGTATAGCTTGAGGAACTTCTACTTTCCTCATAAAATCTACTTGTTTGAAGGGAAACTCACCTTTAGCTAGAACAGGCATTTGTCTCAAAGCAGCTGTGGCCCTCTGCTTGTGAATACCCTTGTTTTCACAGTGGAATTGTGTTTATGAAGGCTTCTTTGCATCTGTCACTCCATTAGTCCCAGAGGGAGTGTCATAACCACAGGAATAAAGGTTGTGTCCTAAGTCCCAGCCTTCATTCTCTTTAGTAATTTTTATGTGCTTTATAATGTCCTTGACTTCCTCAAATGTTTTGACTATTTATCAACTAATCGTATCCATAGGTATTAATATTTACCTTCTTTCTAGTCTGTGTCTAGGTCTTAAACTTGATTTTCTTCCTTGAAACCTTTTGCTTTGCTTTTGTTGATTAAATTCTACATTGTTAAATAATTAAACATCCTTAATGTGTGCAAAGAAATAGAAACTCAAGTGCAATGTTTTATCATAATTCTAAATAGATTTTTTTGAACTATATTTTAGCTAGCGTGATTTTGTGAAATTTGGTTATGTGAAAATTTAATATTTAAGTTAGGAAATGGGCATTTAGGATTCCAGGGATAGAGCTAGTTAATACATGCATAGTGGTGTTTACAGAAGGCTTTCCTTTTGTGTGGGAGGTCACAGAAATGCTCTGGTTCTGTCCTGTGGTTGGTGCTTGATTTTAGCCCCCTCTCTTCCCAGTGGCCAGATAATTCATGTACTCTGTGTGCACCTGCACACAGTGTATCTGACTCAGGAAATTTTTTTTTTTTTTTTTTTTTTTTTTTTTTTTTTTTTAATAGATAACAGAGACTTAAAATACTTTACCAAGTAGGGCATTCTGTTTAGTTACTGTTAACATACATTTGATTTCTGTGTATGAAAGTTGGATCAATTTGTGCTATAGCTTTTAGCTTGTTTCTTTTTACCAGAACTTAGCATCTCATAACAAATCTGTCACTGAGGAATTTCTAAACAAATTTACACATTTGCTGTATTTATTATAGAGTCTGAGGGGGCTATCAAGGAGTAATGATTAGAGACAATAAAGTTATGTGATTTAATGTGTGTTCTGGTGCTTTGCATACAGTAAGTACTGAAACAGCTTGTTGAGTGTTAACCTTTCTGAAAGAAATAAAAATAAACCATTAAATTTATGAAACTGGTTTACCTGGTCCCTCAGGAACAAATCTATCTTGTGAAACAAGTTTGTTTGTTTTTTCCTCCCCTGTATTTGGGACAGGTTCTACAGGGTTTCACTATGTAGGTTGGACTTGTAGTGATCCTCCTGTTTTCAGCCTCCCAAGTGCTGGGATTATAGGCGAGTGCTACCACACCCAGCCTCAATTGCTGTCTCAGCACACCCACGGGCGGGACCGGCACAGCATGCCAGGGATCGAACCCCAGCTGCTACACTCTAAGGAGAGGCTTTAGTCAGCTGAGCTATCAGGCTGGCCCTGAAACAAGGTTTATTATAATTAAAGCATTAAATTTCTGTCTCATAGGAATATTGCAACATCCAGATGGCACAGTGTTGAAACAGTTACAGCCACCTCCAAGGGGCCCAAGAGAGCTGGAATTTTATGATATGGTAAGTAAGGTAAGATTTGTTTTGCTGTATTCTAAGTGTTTTTCAGCATTTTCTGGTGGTAACTCACAGTAAAAAAATACATTGGACAATATGTCCCAGTTTACTGCGTATAAAAGACCTTCATGGCATTGTTTGTCTTTTACTGTATGTGATATAGTCTAGTATTTTTTGTTCTACTCATTTCTTAAAGATTCTTATTCTGAATCACTAAATTGATTTCAATCAAGGAGTTGTGAACCCACAATTTGAAAAACACTTGGCTGGGTGTGTTTGTAGTTCTCAGAAATGCTAAGTTAAAGAAGTGTTTTTTTCCTATAGAGTTCCTTACAGTCTGCAGTGTGCTAACTTGCGTGGTAAATCTCCAAAGGGGAGAAGAGGGCATCCTTAACATCTAATTAACCATGTAACTGAGAATGTTTTTATTTTAGTGTGTTCACAATGTTCTGTGACTTCCCCTCTTATCTAATTTCAAAGTGTTTTCATTGCTCAAAAGAAAAATCCTTGGGTTGGAGATGTTCAGTGATAAAGCACTTGGGTAGCATGCTAGAGTCCCTGGCTTCTGTCTCCAGCATTGTAGCACCAGGTTGAGGAGGCAGTTGACAAAAATGGATTTATAGCCAGATGTGTGGCACACACTTGTAGTGCTAGCTCCTTGAGAGCCAGAGCAGGAAGAATGCAAATTTGAGGTCAACCTTGGCAACTTAACAAGACCCTTCTTCAAAATCAGATCTGCAAGAAGGGCTGGGGATGTAACTCAGTGCTAGAATGCTTGTCCAGCCTTCATGAGGCCCCAGGTTCGGTCCCCAGTGTGGGAGGTGGTGGGAGAAGAAAACTGTGTACCCTCTGTCAGGTGAGCCATGCTGCTGCATTGCCACCAATCTGTATTCTTTGAATTTGCCTGTTCATAGCAGTGTTAGTGGGTTTTGGGGTTTCCTTACAGAGGCAGTTTCTGGGTTTTTCTTGTTTTAAGAATTGGTCAAAACAAATGCAAAAGGTAAAAAATGTATTCTGTTATTAAAGACAGGAAAAAAAACAGGCTTTGCAGAATAAGTTTGGGCCAAGTAAAAGTGTGTATAATCACACTACAGCATGTGAGCGGACTGCAGTGCAGGCAGAACATAGCAGTCAGAGCTCAGTGAACGCTGTCTTGTAGCTCCCACTACTCAGGCTGACCTCAGTTGTAGGGTCCTATCACAAACGTGCTCAGGTTCTCTGGAGGAATTGAAGGTGCCCCTTTCTAATTGGGTCCCTGGCCAAAGCTCTGGGAACTGTTCAGCACACGTGTCCTGAAATTTTGTAATTGACAGATCACTTCCTCTTCCCCAAACCAGATCGCCATGCTCTAGTCACCCACTGTAGAAAGCCCTCTGGACCTCTTTGGCCCAGAGGAGTTTGCATTTGTAATTCCAGGGGAAAATTATTGTAATTCCAGTAGGTAGTTCCAGTCTTCTACTTCCAGTGCAATCCATGGCGAGAATAAAGAAACTAACACACATCTGTGGATGTGGGCAGCCAAGCGCCCCCAAGTCCAGTTAGAACAATGGCTGACCAGAACAGAGGTCTCTACCTAGGACTGGACCTGGGTTTTATTAATTGGTGAACAGGGCAGTGGGTGTGAACCCTGAGAGAGTGGGGAGTACAGTGCTGTGAGCTTGTCCAGGGAGCAGGCGGACAGCGCCTCCGCAGTATGTAGAGAGGGGTACACAGAAAGTGGGATCTGCATGCGCAACTTGAGGAAGCACCTTGTTCTTAGGGGTCGGAGCCTCATCTTTGATGTGTAATTGTCCTGGCTGAGATATATTATGGCTCAATCCCAGCCCAGCTCTTGGTCCGCCTAGCTCCCGTGTACTGGTTGGAGGCTGTGGGTAGGGTGGCTCTGACCTATCGTGTTGCCCCTCCCACCATTGCTCTGATGACCACACATGAGCATGTGGGCTAGACCCAGTGCAGTGCTTAAGCTACTTGAGGGGATGAATACTGTGGCCAGCTCTGTACATAGCAATACGTGGAATCAGGGCCTATTTAGCCAAAGTGGAGACAGATGCTCTTCTAAGGAGAGCCCACCTGGTGGTCTTCTACAACCCACCCCAGTAATTTTGTGAATGGAGTCATATAAACTGTGACCTCTTGTGTTTAGGTTCATCTGTCTCATAGCATGTGCAGGTGCTTCATTTATTGTTAGTAACTGTATAGTATTCTGTTGTGCTTATATACATTTTGCTCACCCATTCACTTATTAGACATTTGGGTTAGCTTACCTGTTTTGTTAGTTGTGCTGCCATGTTCCTGCATGTGTATTTGAGCATGTTTCTATTTCTTTCAAGTACATGTTCAAGGGTGGAATGGTTAGGTCTTTGGTAATACTTGGTTTAATCTTTTGAGGAACTGTCCACTGTTTCTTCTTTTTTTTTTTTAAGGATTTTTGTTGTTCTTCGAATGCCTTCAGGGCACGTTTGGCCAGCGGGAGAGTTGTGAGGTTCGAACTCCAGCAACCTGAGGCTGACAGCTTTGTGGAAGCAGCCACTTAAAGGCCTGAGCTAGGGCCAGGCCCCCGGTCCACTGTTTCTTAAACTGGCTGTAGTCTTTTACATGCCCATCAGCAGCGTGTGAGTGTCCCACTTGCTGTACATGCTCACCATTGCTTGCTTTCCATTTTTGTTTAAATGGCGTCCTAGTGGTTGTGAAATGTTATCTCATCATAGCTTGTTTGAATTTGTATTTCCTTCATTGCTAATGGTAGGTCTTTTCTTTACTGTGAAGGGGCAGGAAGCTACGTTGTCCCCTTGCATGTGGCTGTCCGCCCTCACAGTGTTGTTGGTTGACAGGACAGCATATTCCCCATTAAATTGTTTTAGGGGCTTTGTCAAAAGTCTGCTGACTATAAATGTATGAGAAATGTTTGAGGAATTTTGTTCAGTTCTGCAGGTTAGGCAGGGTGAGTTTGGGGTTGAGAGGCAGTAAATCACTGGCTCATTCTGGCTTATAGGCTTTCTTTCAATTTCATTGATCTAAATGTCTGTCCGTACTCTTTGGTCATTGTAACTATATAATGAATCTTGAAGTTGGGGGAATATAAATCCTCCAGCTTTGTTCTTTTTGAAATCTGTCTTAACTATTTTGGGTTCTTTATATTTCAGTTTGCATTTTAGGGTCAGCTTGTCAGTTTCTGCCAAAAGCCAGTTGGAATTTATTTTTATGGACTTCAATAGATTTGTGTGACAAGTTTTGACATCACATTTTTATCTTTTATTCTTTTAATATTATGTATTGAGAGATTTTATGAGATGACCCTGCTTTTTTTTCTTCTGGGAATAAATTATACTTGGTCAAGGTGTAACTATGTTTCTGTGTCAGTGTATTTGTTTTGTTACTATTTGGTTAAGGCATTTTGCATCTTTATTCATAAGGGCTATTGGTTTGTACTTTTCTTAAAGTGTTAAATGAGATCTCTTAAGCATGTATTTAAGTTCTAAACTGAGCTTAAAATACTAGAGCTGAGCAGATAATACTAGAGTACACGAAAACTCTGAATGTCAGTGTACCATAAACCACTCTGCCACTTACCAATTTATTGCCCTTCAGTTCCAGATTCTCTGTTATTTCCCCTTTGACTATAAGCTCACTTCTTTAAGCATTTCTCATGTATTATGTGGATACCATTAAATATTCTTGGTGGAGAGTGTTGGAGATATATTGTAGGTGGAAGGGCTTTGCTGCTGTCTCATCAGTAGTGCAGGTGACTGATGTGTACTGGACGTACAGATCCTCATAGCCCCAGAGCCCCGGCATGAGGGGCCTTCTGTCAGCTGGCACCTGAGTGCTTTACATTCACCTCCTCTTCATGTGTGTCTCCTGGTGCCAGTGGAGGATGTCTCCCCATGTGTGTCTGCCTGCCTAGCCATCGACTGCCCTGCCTGTATAGTTGCACTGTACTCTTATGGACGCTCCAAGAGCGTCCTTCCCAAGGTGCTCTCTCAACTGTAGGACCTTAAGGAATTCTCTTTATGTCTTATAGTCTTCTATTGGTGCTTAATAATTCTTTATAGTAAATGTCCATTGCTTATACCATGGTGAGGTTTCTCATTTTGGCCTTCAGACTGATGCATATTCTCTTATGGGAGAAGTTATCAGAAGATCGTATGTAGTCGTACAGTTTATGGGATGCCTCTTGTGCATTTCAGAACACTTTAGAAGTTTTTTTCAGAATACTGTATATAATTTAAACTTGCCATGCTGTATAAAAATGTATTTGAATAGAAAACTCACATGCTTTTCACAGCTTTATGCTTGAACTATATGCTGTAAAGATGGGGATGTCTATGAATATTTAGGCATTGCACTAATCTAATGTTCTGTTTTCCAAGCTAATACTTGTGGTTCCTGGCTACATAATCAATGAAACTGGTTAGTGTCTATGTGTCTGTTTGTACCAGTTTCTTTCTTTTTTGGGGTACTGGCAATTGAACTCGGGACCTCATGCTTGCCAGGCAGGCACTGTGTCCCAGTTCCTGTGAGGTATCCTGTGTGGCTTTAAATTTGCTGGTATGTTTGATTCCCCCTATGTATTGTTTTATCTTCAGTCTGTTTTGTGAGTCTATCATTAAAGTATACCCATTCACTGTTGTGTTTTGAATTGTAGATGGTTTTTGTTTTTGTGTTGTAGTTGGACTAAGTACTACATATGTGAAAGTGTGCGAATAATTTTTTCCATTGGAAGTTCTTTCATTATGCCTATATTAAATATCTTGCCAGTTTCTTTTACCTCATGAAAGTTCTCAAGCTTAGAAGCTGCCTAATAGAAGAAGATATCACAAGTCTAATAAATTATACTGAAAGGAATGGGTGGATATATTCATTTGCTGGGGCTGCAGACCAAGTTATTTTCTCCAGTGGTTATTTTTGCACAGAGATGGGCTTAACCACTGAAATTTATTTTTTCAGTTTTGGTGGTTAGAACACATCAGGGTGTTGTCAGGATTGGTTTCTTTTAAGGGCATCTCTCCTTGGTT